AGGTGAGGGAACGACGACGTTTCAGTCCGTCCTGGACCATTCTAAATTCGACTTGAGAATGGTCCAGGACCGAAACATTGCTGGTCGCCTGTGGGCCGCCGAGCGGTGTGGAGGAGTCGTTTGCCCGCTCCAGCAGTTTTGGGGTGATTGCCGTTTTTCGCCAGCAGGGGGTGTGGGTGTGTCTACCCTCCCTGCTGTTCCTGGTGGTGGGGACGTGGCGTGTTTGCAATGGGCGGTCCTATTCCAGCTGTCGTGAGGAAAAACTCCATAGGTTTGGAGTTTACTGGCCGTGCTGGTTACCCGCTTGTGGACTTTTGTCTTGAATGACATGCTCCGAGTCCCGTTCCAGGACGTATATGGTGTCGAGCTGGTCATTGCTCGCCGTGTCATCAAGTTTGTGGGTGAGGCAGTGTACCGTGATTTTCTCTGGAGGTACGAAGGGCGTACTTTGCAGCTGCAGGGCGGCAACGGGTCTGACCATTTCGGACCATAGTGGTGCTGTGACATATGTAAGTGTCCATGGCGCCCCCATGGAGTTTCTTGAGTCTCTCCTCCGGCGTTTCTTCCAGAGGTACGGCTCCGTCGTCAGTGTGGGGATGAACACACTCGTGTGGAACGTATTCGGGTGTGAAGAGCTCATTCGGACCCTCGGGATGCGACTGAGGTCGGACATCCCATCATCTGTCCGGGTGTTAGGTTACTACGTGCGGGTGTTATGGCTGCAGCCTCTCCTTGGGTCCCTCCTGTGCTGGGTGCCGAGGTGGCTGCGGTGCCTCGTGCTGTGTCTGGTCCGGTTCCTCCTGTGGTAGAGGCTGCTGCTGTTCTGCGTGGGTTCGTCCGGCTGGTGGTGGCGGTGTTTCTGGGTCCGCTTCTGGCTCTGATGATAACCGGCCGGAGCCCAAGCGTTCCAGGCGTTCGTCTACTGCCTGGGACTTCAGTGACTGTGGGTCTTCAGGTGTTGACGGCGTGGATCCGGATGCGTCGTTGTCTCCTCGGGTGGTGGTGGCGGAGGTTCATGTGCCTGCTGATGGCCGTGTCTCAGGTGTGCCTGAAAAATAAAAATTACAGTTGAAACCATTTTATATCGCAGAGTAAACAAGATGGAAACAATTATCTTCCACATTTATTTGCACAATTGCCATCCTGATATGACCACTCCATCGCCCTAGTCGTTAACACACTAAGTGGAGGCGAGGAGTCACAATAACGTGGCTAATTTTGACCAGATCACACTAGAAGGTGAAGGGACGACGACGTTTCGGTCGGTCCTGAACCATTCTCAAGTGGACTTGAGAATGGTCCAGGACCGAAACGTCGTCGGCAACACACTAAACAATCTAGGGCGACTTGTTGCTAAACATTACAACGTCACCTTGAGTTTAGCTACAAAACACGTTGTGCATATTATCAAACTACCTTTAATGTCATAATGCAACAGTTTGCGCGGTCAAAATACAGATAGACAAACTGCTCATGAACCGTAGGGGAACCTTTGACAAGCCGCTGGGTTCCTGTTGCCGTAGAGGGCACTATGGAGAAATGGTGGCCCTCTGGTAAATTTAAGTCAATATTACCTAGGAGTTATGATGTACTAGCCATTGAACATGTGGGACTCAGTTAATATGAAAACAATCCTTAAGAATAGTTAAACGAATCTTTGACTTAAACGAACAACATTGAATATTCAACTGTACGAGTTTCTGTTGTGGTCCCATGTGGCCTACTGTATCCTAATATGGAAACTTCACTTTAAAAAGACATCAATGATTTACCGCTTTGGATAAAGTTCAAGACAGCAACAACAATCATGCCAGAACTTGTTCAACTGTCACTACCACGAATATTTGAAGGACTAACACTATAAATGTTGGAATTGTTATAGATTTTGATAGATTATCCTATAAATTTTGTTAGAAAATGAGTTTTGTTTGTTAGAAAATTAGTAATTTGTTAGAAATTACCTACTTAATATTATCTGTTAGATTAAGGCCCTACCCGAAGCGGTATGCGTACTAGTGGCTTTACAAGAATGTAAAGACATCATGGCATGTACTTTCAGAAACCCAATGTAACTTTTAGTTATATAAATAACAGGCGAGGCCTTTGTAATACTATTTTAATGCATTGCTTTATACTTTGTACTGTATTTTAGAGACGTACTTTGTGTTTATAACTTGCAGCTTTGTCAGTATTACAAGTTAAAATAGAAAATTATAATACTGACCAAATTGGAGGCTATTAATACAGACCACTTCTCTAAAATGTCATTTGACACAGACAGGCTGGACAACAGCTTCAAGCTCAACAAGGCACAATGTAACAGAAAATAGATGTGTTGTTCCCCCCATAGGGTTATTAACCCATGAACCCGCTTAACCACTCAAGTCGTAAATGCCGAGTGATTCCTTTTGTTCACAATATACACCAGACAAATCCTCAATAAAATAAGGGGGGAGGGAGTAGGAAGGCTGGCGTTTGACAAGGCGCCGCCGTCCTGTCCCCGTCGAGGCCACTGTAGATGGTGGCCCTTAGGTCAATTCATCATACGAGCCCTTCTCCTTCCATCATTCTGAATCATGCTCATCATACGAACCTGCACCCCCGCAATCCCCCCCCCCCCCACCATCTTTACACAATTTGTGGGCAAAATTTCTCGTTTCATTCAGATTTTAATGAAAATATGTCGAAGATTTCTCTTTAATATCTGCAACACATTGTGCCAACTGGTAATGAACGTGACCCTTGCCAGGCGGCGGCTGGTCGACAACTGAGCCACACGTTAAGAAGCTGTGGGACTCCCAGACGCGTCACTCACCCTTACTTCACCATAATATCTAAACTGTCAACCTCTAATACAGTTAAGCATCTGACCACCAGAGGCGCTAATGCTCCCCCTGTTATTACACCATCCATATAATGATTGCTCTCATTATTCATTGTTGCAACGTTTAACACTTTGCCTAGTCTGACGCGCGAGGTTCAGCCTACCCCAAGGTCGGCGTGGCCGATTCACCCCAAGGTGAGCCTGAGCGGTCACCCGCACTAAAATGTGTTTACTCTTGCGTATATAAGGTCAAAAAGGCCAGCTTGCCACCCGCAGTAGACCCAAAAGTTGGCGAAGTGTCAGCCGTGAACACAAGCACACTAAAATGTGTCTACTCATTTCAATTTTCTCACCTCAATTGTCATGCTACGTTTTTGATTTTGGTATCGAATTGTTCACAATAGAAATCTCTAAAGGGATATATGCATGTAAGGCCAAAAATGCCGGCGCGCTACCCACAGCAAACCATAAAATCCATTGAGTTACGTAATGTCGCTGGGTTCATGTCTAGCCTACACCCCATACCCAAGACTTTCCAATCTATTTGACCCAAAAAATTTATTAGGCTATTGAAATCAGCTTTTCGAAAATCAGGCACTTTAACAGAATTTTCTCCTACAGGTCTATTCCATTCTATGCTAAATGTGATTACTTTGTGATCACTGTTCCCCAGCTCACTCCCTATTTCCATGTGCTTAATTTGTGTTTCCCTGTTAGTTAACACTAAGTCTAAAATATTATTTTCCCGCGTTGGTTCCTTAATGTGTTGCGTAAGAAAGCAATCGTCAATTAATTGTAGAAAATCTTCTGCTTCACTATTCCCTGTTTTGTTGAGGTAGCCGGCTGACGTGGCCAATTTCACCGCCAGCCGCATATACGTAAGTTTCTCGAGGCCTAGAAGATCGGCGACCTTCACATCCAAAACGTCCAGTAACGCGAGTAATACGAGAGGGCAATCCACAGGAGGTGAGAAAGCAAGTCCCACAGTATCTACACGGTGAATCGGCCTACTCCCAGCCGCCGCCATGCCGCGAGCTAAGACGCCGGTGAGCGGGCGTACCACCACCGCCTCGCAGCGCCCTAGAACTACTGGGAACACGAGACGTGGCGACGACTACACCCCCCCCCCCCCCCCAGTGGTGAGGCCTGGGGTCAGATTCACGAAGCAGTTACTCAAGTACTTACGAACCTGTACATCTTTTCTCAATCGCTGGCGGCTTTGTTTACAAGTGTTAAACAGTTAATGAGCTCCGAAGCACCAGGAGGCTGTTTATAACATTAACAACAGTTGATTAGCCAGTTGTCATGGGGGTAAACTGTTTAATAAATGTAACCAAAACCGTTAAAGATTGAGGAAAGATGTACACGTTCGTAAGTGCTTTCGTGAATGAGGGCCTTGAACTCCACGGTACTATACCTTTTACTGTAGTGTAGTGTACGGTACTGTACTGTTCTCTATTGTACTGTACAGTACTGTGCCCTTGAGTGTACTGTATCGTACGATAGTGTACGGTACTGTACTGTATTGTAAAGTATACAGTATAGTATACTGTAGTTCATCGTAGCGTACGGAACTGTACTATGCTGTACTGTACATACAGCTTGAATAAGTAATCTTATTATGTAATAATTATAATAATAGTTATTTAATAATAAGTAATAGAAAATCATGAATTTTGAGTGTAATGTAAAACATTAAAAAAATATATTTATATATTTATTTATATACAGGAAGGTACAATGGGTTTGTGAGAATACATAGCATAGTACAGTAATTACACTCTTGTAAAGCCAGTAGTACGCGCAGTGTTTCGGGCCGGTCCTTAAATTAACCAATAAATATAAGTAGGTAAAATCGATAAAAAATAATAATTTCTCATCCATTTGATACATGTATGTTTTTCAGACTTTGGGTATACATTTGAGTTGATATATTTCAGTTTCAAGAAATAAAACTCATTAACTAGTAAGGTATCCAATTAGGTCGAGCCGACCAATGACAGTACAGCTTGCGACAATGTGACGTGAACTGAAAATAGAAACGTGATTGGCTATTGAGTATGTGACGTGAACTGAAAATAGAAATGTGATTGGCTATTGAGTATGTGACGTCAACTGAAAATGAGAAACGTGATTGGCTATTGAGTCCACCTGCTCATTGAGGCGCAACGGAACCTTATTTTGCCCCTAGAATTAGCTGAGTAGAGGTGTACAGGTTAGTGTTAGGGCGTGATGTTACTCTGAGCTGGTACCCCGTTACCCTTTGGGGTTCGCTTTGGTGACAGACCCCCCCCCCCCCCCCTAGGTTACACTGTCACTCTGTACACCGTCAAAACGCACATAGGGGCAAAAATCTATATTATTTTTAGCTGTCGTATATACCCCGTGTTGGGGGGGGGGGGGTATATATACTGCGATATTTGTTAGTCGTGACCCATAATCAGTAGTAAAAGTATTTAATAATGTTTACGTACTGTATTGATTTGTAAAATTGTATTTTATTTTGTTTCCACAGCAGTCTTGAAGGAGCGATGATTGGAGTCATACCCTGGCGAGCAGAAGGTGGTGGCCGATGTTAGAGTTGTGATACTTGAGTTACCAAGGTATGATGGGTGTATCCGGCACAAGTGAAATAGTTAGGCATAGTAATATTGTAATGGGATTAGCGTAATTTTGAGGCTAGTTTTGACAATGGAGGTTTGACGAGTCATTACTACAGCCATATGAGGACCCCCATTAGTGTTTAAATATGAAAACCTATGTCACGGTAATGTTAATTGGTGTAACAAGTAGTTCAGATAGTAGAAAAATGTAGTGTGGAAAGAGGATGGTGTTGCTTCCGGTAACTTTGGTGATTAAGAGTAGTGAATAAGTTTGTCGATAGGGTTTGGCCGCTCTCGCTCTGGGGAGTATTGTTATCCAAATTTAAATTGCTGTTGTCCCCCAGACTTTAAGGTGTTCGGGTTACCTGGGTAGATAATTTGACGTATGAGGGGGTGAACCGTTGACAATACGTAGCCTTCCTGTCCTCGTCGAAGGACGTAGACATAAATTGACCCGAGTCGTTTGAGGGACATAGGTGATAAAAATCAACATTTAGTTATGATTCAAATGTTAGTGGCATTATTAAGTGAAATTGTTTATAATGTGAAATATGACAGCATGAAATAAGGGCGACCGCCTTCGTAGGACAAAGATCTCATAAAAAATACAGCTGAACAATATCATTTATACGTGTAGTGGATGTGAAGGTTCGGGTTGACTTGCGACCAATGGCTGATTAATTTCACCTCCAGATGTGAGCCTCGTGACAGTGTTTGTCATGTTTACTGTAGGTGGGTGGCGACGGTAGACGTGGGAGTGTGTTGGTGGTTATGTTGTTAATATTGGTGTAATTGTGTAGTGAGCGGGATAGCGTGCGCTCTACTAGTAGTGTAGGTGGAGGCAAAGGTGAAAAAGTGAGAATAAGTCACTTGTAACTTAAGGTTCAGGGGCCAGATTCACGAAGCAGTTACGCAAGTACTTACGAACGTGTACATCTTTCCTCAATCTTTGACGGCTTTGGTTACATTTATTAAACCGTTTACAAGCATGAAAACTTGCCAATCAACTGTTAGTTATAAACAGCCTCCTGGTGCTTCCGAGCTCATTAACTGTTTAATAATTGTAAAGAAAGCCGCCAAAGATTGAGAAAAGATGTACAGGTTCGTAAGTGCTTGCGTAACTGCTTCGTGAATCCGGGTCCAGGTATTGGTCCAGGATGTGTTGGTTATCATTGTGTAGCATGAAGTATATGGTGTGGACTTTCTTTTGTAGTGTGAATTGAGAATTGTGTACTAGGAACATAGTCTCGTTTTCCTGGAACATTATCATGGAAATTTGTGATATAGGTAACCCAATTACTACTGGTAGGTAATTATTGGGGAGTTAATGTTGTATAGCCAGAACTGTAAGATACGGTGATTGGGGGAAGGGAGGATGATTATGCGCGATCACGAAACCCGAAGAATTGTAAATCTCGTCTATAGGTTGGGAATGTAGCTAAACCCCCGACATGGTGTTTTGATTGTGGGGAAGGGTATTGTCATGGCTGCGCTTTGATGGTATTGAAACCAAAAAACACCTCTCGTGAGGTGCGATACATGTTTGGCTGTATTATAGTTTACCAACGTGTAACTCTACTTTCTGATGTCTTTCATCATCTAAACAATCTACAAATTGTTAAGAGGTTGAATTATAGAATTATAACAAATGATTTCGCATGGAAGAAAAAAATGTGTAATGAGTTTTGACTCGAGTATTGACAAATAGATGGTTGTAGCCCTTAACATGTCATATTTAGGTTAAATGGATGCATATTACGCATTATATTTCATGAAGAGGAGCGTGTGGAGGGGGGCGGGCTGGCCGAAACAGAGCATTGAAGTATCTATTTGTGAAGAAAGCAGCATTGGTGGAGACCAACCAACGCCACACTGCAGAGTAATGGAAGAGGCTGTGACCTGCAGGTGAGTTTGATATGTTGAAATTAACATATGTTCCTCCATGAATGTAGTTACGTAGTGGATAAAAGTGAAATCCCAAGTAGTACTAAATATATTATCATTCGTGAATGAATCATGTGGTGTACTTTGAGCATTAGACGTCATGAGACGGAGCCTTACTAGACGGAACACTTTGAATATATAATGAAAGTAAATTGCTGGAATTGAACATGACGTGTGGAAGGTTGGGTGTGTATATATGAATGCTACGCGGTATTCATCTATAGATGGTGAAATACACATTAAGAACAGCTCCCAGATAAGAGATTAAGCTTAGTTGATAAACCCCCACCCCCCAAAAGTGTCGAAGGTGGACTGGGGCTTAGAATCATAACTCTGTGCATTTCCCCTTTCAAAAGTGGCCCATGAGGCACCCCTCCCCCCCCTCACTCCCAAGCTGTGTTGTTTTTTTGAAGAGTGCATGGCCGTGTATTTGATATTAATGGTGATAAGGAATGTTTATCGTATACGAATGTTCAGAATCCTGAATATAATATAGTTTCGGAGGTGAAACGCTCGAGTACCCTCGACGTGGGTGACGTTCCATCGTGTAGTGACTCTAGGGACACAACCTCCAGCTGTTGAAGGATCAAGTTTGTCTTCCATACAAGGTACGAAAGAATTAAAATTTGTTGTAAATGTTTATAGTGCCGAATCGTCGAGCATGTAATGTGATGGTTATTAGATATCCAGCGGGTTTTGACGTTATTAATGTTGATTGATATTGAAACTTGAATATATATAATAGAGAAATAGGATGGACTCGCCTAGAAGGCGTCTCGTTACAGAGGGCAGTAAATGTGGTATGGTGATTGAAGGTGATGTAGATGAAATAATGTTTGGGAATTGTTGAGTCAATGAATAGATAGTTGTAGGGAATCATAAGTAAATATTTAAACTAGAAGTACCTAATTTGCTAATAATTTTGTTATTAGATTACACTAGGTACCTAATTAGGAAGGATAGGTTTAAGATAAGTACGTAATATTGAAATTATAAAGTACCTAATTGCATCTTAGTTTGTTAGTTGAGGTTTAAAAATGGAGTGTATGTAGTGTTACCCAATCTTGTAATGATGTACCCAATGCAAAGAAGTTTACCATTGTGATCATTGTTGTCTTATGGTCTTTGAATTTGGTGTATGGTGCCTATTAATGTTTAAATTAGGAATGAAGGTGTCAATGGAATGTGAGCTTTAATATACCAATGTGGTTTATACCTGTACGTATTAATATATCGTTGTTTTATGTGTTTGTTGCACTGTATGAATCATGTTATTAATTCCGTTAGAATTGACGTAGTTAAAATTATCTTAGAATAAGGACCTGGCCGAAAGGGTGCGAGTACTAATTGTCTTAGAAGTGTAAATACCATGCTATGTATTATAAAAAACCCAATGTACCTTATTGTATATATAAATGTTATTAGTTTCACATTCTAAGCTATACAATAAGTTTGTAATGTATGGGAAACGTTAGCGAAATGAAGATAAATTGGTAATAGATAATGTAAAGGAGACGTGAATGTAGTGTTAGATCATTGACTGTAATTGACTTACCCTGCTCTAAACGGTGGGTATATAAAATTGTATAATATTGTATATGAGTGACTGACAATGTGTTACGGCTCACAAATTATTTTGGACCCGCATCACGGGTCCAAGTGTCTTGCTGTTACCTTCGTTTGGGTTTAAACTAAGAATTGTTTATCTTCAAAATATTAAAATTTATGCAATGGCCTCGTGCATGTTGTATTAAGAGAAGTCATTAAATAATACAAGAAGGAAGAGTTGTAATAAGTAAGGTAGAATGTTGCATTTCCTGAGTTAGAAGGCCCATGCATTTGACTTTAAGATGATTGTGGTATTGCGTACCAGATTGTGGTATAGACCCAGTTACCACAATGCGTACCAGATTGTGGTATAGACCCACTTATTACTGCAATTAATGTGGGTGAAGCTGCATGTTATTGACTCTTACTTGTTGTGCAATTGTGAATGTTTAACTACTGTTTGTCATTAAGTTATCAAGTGAGGTAGGCTGTGATAGGCGCGGAGTACGGCCCCCCACCCCCCTTGCCTCAAGATTACTTGCCCTGCATTTACGTTTGGTTAGATCAGCTAACTATTCCCTCAACTTATGCAGCGTCTTGCTGCATGTGTGTTTATTTATTAGTGGTTTACACTTAAAGATATCATTTTGGTTATCGCTTGTAAGTTATTAGGTAAAGTCAGCTAGGTTAGGGTAGCTGGTGTGACACAGGCCTGAGGGCTCTAGGTTAAGGTTTTCATTGAGTTATGGCAAATATAAGTGTCCATAGTTTATTAATGATTTTTATGGAGTGTGAAGCTTGATGTTTCTTAGCTAGTTTGACATTTAAGTTATTTATGTAAAGTGAGCTAGGATGTGATAGTTGGATGGATGGGGCCCCTTGCCTGTTGCTTTAAGTTTATTGTGGGGCATTTACGTATAGTTTTGTATGCCAAAATCCTGGATTGTACATCGCTGTTGCTGCATTGTGTACATTACTGGTTTACAATTATGTTTAAGTTATGCTTCACCTTTAAGTTGTCAGGTGGGATGTCCTAGACGGTCTTGGGGCGTCATGCATCTCCCTTGAAGTTTATGTTGGACTCATATTATGATTAGTTCCTTCAGCAATTTATTGCTAGTTGTGCATAGCTTAAGTGCATGTCATTTTACTTCTCGTTTTCCCTTTATACTGATTTTGTTGACTTTGTCATTAAGTACTGACAGGTAGACAGTACCAGTTTCGTTTACCAGTACGAGTAAACGTTTCCAGTCGTTTTGTCTGGTGGGTGTACGGGGGAAGATACTGGTGGTTCCCAGGCCGGTGTTTTATCCAGACGTTTTTGTCTGGCCAATGTAGCCAGGAAAGTTATGTTATTGAGGTATTATATTTATATTGGTCATATAAATATGCGGTGTTCGAGGGCGCTGGTTTATCCAGACGTGTTGTCTGGGCGGAAGGTTTTGACAGGCACCGACGTCTTAGCTGCCTTCGTTGAGGGGTTTATGTCCGGCTGATGTTCTTCGTGCGACGTGTCACTGTTCTAGCGGCCGATGGTGTGTTGCAGGTGGTCGATCAGTCTGGCCTAGTGTCCGAGCCGGGACTCTTGGTACGTTGTTGGTCAATGTTGGTGTCCCAGCTTGGTGGTGTTCAGGTGGAACATGGTCCACGTTCAGGTGTTGTAGCTGATGTTCAGAGGGATGATTTTCCAGTTGACATTTGGCAATTGTTGTTTCTTAAGCCGTTATTGACCAGTAGTGTTGGTGTTGTGGATGCTACGTTATTGTTGGTTTGTTAAGGTTAGGGTTTCCCTGCTTGGTTCCTCCTCCGCAGTGTGGGACATTGACGTATTTATCTATTTATACAGTTCGTACTGTATCATTAGTCGTTATTTAAGTAGTTTATTAATAGGTCTTTGTTTTAGTCGCTGTAGTTCTATCCTCGCTCGGTCTGCCCCGTACTAGGCCCATTAGCTGGGGCAGTGCGTTACTGGGCTAGCCGGGAGCCCTGTGGAGGCCTTAGGTGGGCGTGGCCGCCCTGTTAGCGGGCTAATTGTCCTGCGACCTAGTACTTTGGAATGAGTATTTGTTGCTTTTCCCTATCCTTGTATTGCTTGTCTTTGACATTGTTAGTGAAAACTTGGTTATATTTGTAAGGTACTAGTTATTGCTTGTGAATGTGTGTGTGTGTATATATATAAAAATGTATAATCATTAGTTGCTACAATAATTTATAGTACTGGTCATTCATTGTATTAATCGCATCTTGGCCGTAGTAATTTATTATGAGTCATGGAGTTTGTTTACTATATTCGTCGTTATTTGTGATATTTGCATATATTAAATAAAAAAAATTAGTTGACATTTAGGGATCCGTAGCGTTGCTGGTGTCCATTTCACTTTAAGATCTCGGGATGTGAGGCAAAGTTGTAGGGGTATTGGTGGTCGCAGAATGGTCATTGACTGAAGTGTTTACGGCTCTTAAGGGAGTTTGTTAGGGTAACTATTGAGCTGTAACATGCTTTGGGAGGCGAACATACAGTTGAGATAACTGTAAGTGACTGTTACCATCGTTATAATTTGTCACTGTGGACGCATGCATGTTGCAGTTGGGCCTTAAGAGGTGTTTCTTATATTTGAAATAGGGTTTTATTTATATAATATTATATACATAGTGGTAATATAAATATTGATTGTTGTGTTTGTATATAATATTGTAATTGATTAGTTAGAAAAGAAATTTGTTGCTAGATGCCTCCGCCTTGAATAATTTGTGCCCTTGACGCAGATACGGTAACTGTTTGCCCCCCCCCCCCCCCCCCCCCCCCTTGCACCAATGTTTGTTTTAGTTGTGCGTGTTTGACCCGCTAAAGTTGTGCTCGGGTTGGTAGTTACCTTAGTTCGCTACACAGTATTTTCCTGGAAGATCGTTTTGTCTTCCTTTGCCCTCTAAGTGACTCCTTTCCCGTGTGACAGTGTTACTCAGCTGTCACGGGCTGCTTCCTGGGGGTGGAGGCGTGGTCGAGGACCGGGCCGCGGGGACACTAAAGCCCCGAAATTATCTCAAGATAACCTCCTTTTAGAAAGTCATTGCAGCAGTACCCTTAAGGGTTAGGTTCCTTGGCCGTCACGTTCATACTGCATGGCCGTTTCTGCCCACCCTTACTGCCTTAATACTTGCAGAACCGAGTACGGAAGGAGGACGAGGTACACCATTGATGAAGAAGGAAAAGGGATGGAGGGCGAGGGCAAGACTACTGCGGCCATGAGGTGGACACACATTCCTAGTTACAGCGGCCAGCCGAGCGTTCGCCCTTGTGCGTGCTCCGTCGGAACCCCCAAAGTGATCAGGCCGCAGATATCTACGAAATAATCGCATGAAATGTAATTAGTGTAATGAAATAAATGCAACTTTCATATACTATGTATAGATTGTTAAGTTAGAATTGATTAGTACTTTATAATGAATGATCATTATAGGTTAATACTTTATTGTTAAGTAGTAGTCAATAAATAGTTATCAATCATGGTAAATAGCTATTTTAATAATTGAAAATAATTGCTCATTATAATATATAATATATGAACTAATATAAGTATTTAGCACTATAAAATAAAGAAGTGGGCAATGTGGCTGTTTGGTTGCAAGGTCCGAAAAATAACTTTATAGTATTGATAAATATTAATATTATTAAAAACATATATTTATATATAAATTATAAATATTATATAAAGATAAATATTTATTAATAAAGCGTTTAACGTTCTGTAGTGACAACTGATAAAGTAAAACGGTATAGAGAAATACAATAGAAAATAGATATGAATAATAGCTTTGATGTTTGTAAAATGTTTGTGGTCACTGACAATAGGTAGTGTGTTGGGAGAGTCTGTCTGAGAAAAGCTTGTATTTATGACCTCTCCGTCACATTCCGTTAGTTTGATTATGAAACATTGAAGAAAGTAGACAGAATATTATCTTGAAGCGTTAATGTGTTTAGTGTGGTTGATGTACACTAATATAGTACTATCTAAGAGTATATGAAGGTGAAAAGTTACAACAATCAATTTTATTTGTACTCTGAAATTGTGCGGCGGGAATGGGTAGAAATACCCTAAGGTACTCGTGAGTTTTGTGAATATATATTTGGTTAACTTGTTTAAAATAACATAGTTCAAGTTTAATACATCGTGTTGTTTGTAGTGTAAGGTATTTAAGTTTCTATAGTTATCAATAAGTAGTTGACCAGTTAAAATTGTTTGGATGTGTGATATCATTATACCTCTGAGCTACAAGAATTTTGGGCCACATTTATATGCTGTGGTTACTATATTAAACAGGAATCTTATATTTGCAGTGAATCAGTGAATGTGTGCGGGCCCTTGAGGTTCTGCAAATCGATTGGAATCGAAATACCGTAAACTAGTGTATCGAATTTAGATGTATTTAATATTTTGTCTCAATAAACATACTTTAATTGAAGGTTGTTTTTTGTAAATTTGTTTTTAACAACCTCTTGTGTTTTGTCTTGAGTCAAAGGTGACACGTACGTATGTATAATATATATAATAATCGGGAAAAGAAAAATACATTAGTAAAATGAAAGCATTATATAAAAAAAAAAAATTAAAGAATAGTTGTGAAAAACGTTTATTATTATTACAAATTATTTATTGAAAATTAAACTGAATATTGAAACATAATAATAAAAAATAAAAAAAAAGGAATAATATATAGTTTAGAGGAATAATAATGAATAAAGAATATTTTTGAATAATCTTCAATATTGCAGAATAATACTGAAGAATATTCTTCAATACTGAAGAATATTCTTCAATACTGAAGAATATTCTTCAATACTGAAGAATATTCTTCAATACTGAAGAATATTCTTCAATACTGAAGAATATTCTTCAATACTGAAGAATATTCTTCAATACTGAAGAATATTCTTCAATAGAATATTCTTCAATACTGAAGAATATTCTTCAATAGAATATTCTTCAATACTGAAGAATATTCTTCAATACTGAAGAATATTCTTCAATACTGAAGAATATTCTTCAATACTGAAGAATATTCTTCAATACTGAAGAATATTCTTCAATACTGAAGAATATTCTTCAATACTGAAGAATATTCTTCAATACTGAAGAATATTCTTCAATACTTATTGATTCTTCAAGATTACTGAAGAATATTCTTCAGTATGAAGAATATTCTTCAATACTGAAGAATATTCTTCAGTACTGAAGAATATTCTTCAATACTGAAGAATATTCTTCAATATTGAAGAATATTCTTCAATATTGAAGAATATTCTTCAATATGAAGAATATTCTTCAATATTGAAGAATATTCTTCAGTATTGAAGAATATTCTTCAGTATTGAAGAATATTCTTCAATATTGAAGAATATTCTTCAATACTGAAGAATATTCTTCAATACTGAAGAATATTCTTCAATATTGAAGAATATTCTTCAATATTGAAGAATATTCTTCTTCAATATTGAAGAATATTCTTCAATATTGAAGAATATTCTTCAATATTGAAGAATATTCTTCAATATTGAAGAATATTCTTCAATATTGAAGAATATTCTTCAATATTGAAGAATATTCTTCAATATTGAAGAATATTCTTCAATACTGAAGAATATTCTTCAATACCGAAGAATATTCTTCAATACTGAAGAATATTCTTCAATACTGAAGAATATTCTTCAATACTGAAGAATATTCTTCAATACTGAAGAATATTCTTCAATACTGAAGAATATTCTTCAATACTGAAGAATATTCTTCAATACTGAAGAATATTCTTCAATAGAATATTCTTCAATATTGAAGAATATTCTTCAATAGAAGAATATTCTTCAATACTGAAGAATATTCTTCAATATTGAAGAATATTCTTCAATATTTCTTCAAGAATATTCTTCAATACTGAAGAATATTCTTCAATACTGAAGAATATTCTTCAATACTGAAGAATATTCTTCAATACTGAAGAATATTCTTCAATACTGAAGAATATTCTTCATATTGAAGAATATTCTTCAATACTGAAGAATATTCTTCAATACTGAAGAATATTCTTCAATAATATTGAAGAATATTCTTCAGTACTGAAGAATATTCTTCAATATAATGAAGAATATTCTTCAATACTGAAGAATATTCTTCAGTATTGAAGAATATTCTTCAGTATTGAAGAATATTCTTCAATACTGAAGAATATTCTTCAATATTGAAGAATATTCTTCAATATGAAGAATATTCTTCAGTATTGAAGAATATTCTTCAATACTGAAGAATATTCTTCAATATTGAAGAATATTCTTCAATACTGAAGAATATTCTTCAATATTGAAGAATATTCTTCAATATTGAAGAATATTCTTCAATATTGAAGAATATTCTTCAATATTGAAGAATATTCTTCAATATTGAAGAATATTCTTCAATATTGAAGAATATTCTTCAATATTGAAGAATATTCTTCAATATTGAAGAATATTCTTCAATACTGAAGAATATTCTTCAATATTGAAGAATAATATTGAAGAATATTCTTCAATATTGAAGAATATTCTTCAATATTGAAGAATATTCTTCAATATTGAAGAATATATTCTTCAATATTGAAGAATATTCTTCAATATTGAAGAATATTCTTCAATATTGAAGAATATTCTTCAATATTGAAGAATATTCTTCAATATTGAAGAAT